AAGTAAGAGCCTTCATGAAGCTCCAGCCCACAGGCAACTGATGTTTTGAGTTTGTTAGTTCCCATTTCTGAATAGCTGCACAAACAGTTATCACGCTTTTTCTTGAAGGTTTGTGGCCTGTTCCAGACTTGAGCAGGGCTTTGAAATCTCTTTGGTCTAACCTACGGCGGTGGATAGGTTAGAATAGAACAAACYGATTCCGTGGACAGGTGATCACCTGTGGGAACTTCAAATGTTTCTCTTATGCTGCGTTCACACCAAACGCATTTTGAGCATCAGGTTTACATGCAAAGTCTATGGTGGACCCACATTAAGGAGCGTCAGGAAGTGCTGCAATGCGTCTAGAGCATCTAGCGTGGCGCATTTTGAAGCATTTCGAGAGTACACCGCTTGTCACATGCATCGAATGCTGGTGTTGGAAAATCTAAATCAGAGAGATTTCACTGTGTGACATTAGTGGCACATTTTCCAACAGGACGACTTCCTGAATGATGCCCACTAACTGAGACAGATGGACAGGAGCTCTTCAGCTGAAATCAAGTGTCTGTAGTTGGTGTCCTGGCAGGAGATGCTGGCTCTCAGTAAATAAAGCAAAGCCGCTTTCTTTAATTCATCCGCCATTAAACACAAACTGGCAGAAGAGGAAAATAACAAGAAACTCTTGACACAACAAAAGCAGTTTTGACAAGCGTCCAACTTGAGGCGTTGAAAGTGTTTTTGATGCTCAAACAGTGTTTGGCGTGAACACACTAGAAATCAATTTTTACTTTAATGTATTGCTTTACTTCTCAAGATTGTATCTTTGTCTCTATTAAAATAAAATTACTGTAAGAATTTGAGAATGTTTCTTTTCTTTTAATTCGCTCAAACTAATTTGGGAGAAAATCAAATATTTCCAGAACTGTACTGATGAACCTCAGTAACGCAGGTATTTAGATCAAATATCTCTTTATAGGTAGAGGTCTGGGCCTGGAGGCAACCTATTGTACATGTTTTTGATCTGTGGGAAGAAACCGGAGTACCCTAAGAAAACCAACACCAGAATCAGGAGAACATGCAAATTCAGTACAGAAAGACCCCAAGTCTGAACCAGGGGCCAGAACCATCGCTGCCAAGGTAGAAAAATCYAACAAGGTTGAGAAGAGAGGAAGAACCCATCCAGACGACCTGACTCAACCTTTTTAGATATTTCCACAACTGTTAACGTCCATAAAAAAGCCAGGAAGTTGGAGCAKGGGACACTGCTAGACTAGGAATCTGTTTAGCTGACTGCTTATTATTTAAGTACATTTCTTATAAACCTGCATTAGAATCACTTTCAAACTATTGTTTATAACAACCCAAGAAACTTTGGATCCACTAAACATTCAAGTTAAAGTTATCGAAAACCATCATAAGATTTAAATGATGTCATCTATAAATCTAAGACACCTTTAAATATGTCTTATTCATATTTGGAGTAGAGCAGATACAGAAAGGAAAATCTGTTTAGAAAAAGATATTTGAAATTTGTAGAGAATATATAAACGTTATCATTTTTCTTGCTAGTCTGGAAAATAAGTTAATTATTTGACACTCAAGAAAACAGACAATGATAAAGATCATGGAAATAAAAGAAATCCCCCGTGGTATGGGAAAAGTGTGTTTTTTTACATAATGTCCATAAATGACACATTCTTGTAGGCACTCGAGTAAAATTTAAAAAACAGAATTTTTTTTTTTCACTAAACTGCACCTGACAACCCCGTCAGTAAGTCACTCACATGAACTACCTCAGAGTGACTCTTTGCTGCGGCTGCTCRTGGTAACCAAACTTCCACTGCCTCTAAGACATCATTACTTTCACAGAAACCAAAGTGTTTGTTTCCTTTTGATTTACTGAGCACTACAACCTGTGACATTTCAATTTTCTGACAACACTTGTAGTTTTTGGTCAGTGTGTAGTAAACCCCACCCCACACACCCCACACTTGACGACATAGCAGTAGGGAAAGAACATTGATTTTACCAGTGAAAATGTCATTATTTTAACGGAGATAGTTTTCTTCATTTATTCAATTCAATTAAGAATCAAGAATCTTTATTGTCATTATGCATCAGTGTAACAGCATGCATTAATCAGCTTGATACCTGCCATCTTTAAAAACAAATATCACCGAAAAAAGTGAAATCTTTTTGTAATTACTTGTCAAAAGTGGTTGACATCTCGGTGTATCAGTGTCATCTAAAAATGAATCAAACATGTGTAAAAATAATCTAAAGAGGCCTGCTGAAAGCAGAAGTCAAATCAGCATGAGCTTAAAGCAGCTTAAATAAACAGCCTGTTTGCCTGAGCTGAGTTAATGCTGCTTTGAGGAAAAGTAARCAGAGTTGCATATTTATGAGAATGTTTGGCTGCTAAAGTTTATCCAAGCAGGTGGCTAAATTAAAAGAAAATCTATACTTTCAGCTGTGACATCATATCTGATGATTCCTGAGCTAATTCRGTTTCTAATTATAGAAAAATCTGTTTTGATTAATTTTATTTTATTAATACCGATTCACAACAGGAGTATGTCAGGGTGCTATAAAACAAAAACAAGTCTGTATAACTAGGAATGCACAATATATCAGCATTAACAACAGTAACGCTCAATATTGGATCATTTTTTAGACTATCGGTATCGTTTGATAAGTATTATGAAGTATTTTTAATCACTTACTTCAGCTTTTAAGGTAAAAATTTGCGTGCACTGAAAAACCATGTACAAAAAATGAAAATCTGCTGTATTTGCAGCAAAATACATGAGTAATGCTTTCTTTTACGGTACCCTTATTACCATGTAATTACAAGGTAATAAAAAAATGGTAATTAAATGTAATTACTACCTTACCATGTAATTATGTGGTAATTAGGGTACAATTTTACTATATAATTAATTGTCTGCAGTAATGTAGCACTTACTTGGTAATGTATTACAATTCACTATGTAACACCTAAATAAGTAGTAGGTAATTGACAGTTTTGAAGTTATATTTTATTGCAATTAATCACTAACCCCAAAATTTAGTTGCGTTCTTTTGGTTATATAGTGTTGAGTTACTATTGAATAGTAATTTGATTGTAGTTACCCAATAAAAGTAGTTTTACTAACAGTAGTTTTTCTTTTGTACCGTAATTAGCATGTAATTACATTTAATAAGGTAGTAATTACCATTTAATTACATGGTAATAAGGGTACCGTAAAAGAAAGCGTTACCCATACATCTATAAAACATTATATAAACGATGGACATTTAAATGTCAAAAACGTAAATTAAACCAGGGCTGAAGCAATTAATCAGACTCATCATGACAAATCGATTACTGAAATAATAGTCAACTAATTTAATAATCTATTTATCGCTAACTGGAGCATTTAAGACAAACTTTCTTTGTCTGTAAATATGTTCTATCCTGAACTCCTCAAGTGGCATAGTTTTAGCTTCACCCAGTTCAAATCCTGAAAAAAAATCTCATATTAAGCACTTTTAGCTATCAAATTAATAAAAAATAAAAACCATTAGATTAGCTCTATGCTGTATTGATGTTAAGTCAAGCAGAAAGAGATGAGCTTTTCAGATTTCACAGCTGCAGATGCATCCTTTGCATCATGCTACTGTATTTTAAGCAATAAATTTAATTTATTGTTTAMAATCAAAACTGAATGACTTATTTGCTTAATATTGTATAAAATAAGCTTAAGTGGTTAAACGAAAAATCGTCAGAATACGCTAAATATTATATCTGATTACTTTATTATTCAACAGAATAAAACAATCGTTGCAGCCCTAATTTAAACAAAACACCTCTGGATGACCAAATGCAAAACTAGGCGTTGCATTTTCATATCAAACGTAACTTAAAGTGGACTTCAAAGATGTGGAAACTGCAGGGCGAGCCCCAAAAAGCAACCAATTCCATGGATAGAAATTTCCCCACCCTCTTCAACGGCGTCAAAATCCTGACACTTTCACTGAAATTCTCAGTCCTGAAAACCTCAAAACTGAAACCTAACTGGGGAAGCGTTTTTGAGTAACAGAGGAAAACTGACAGTTATATTCAATGTGGCACATCAATAAAAAGGCAAAGAGATTGTCAACTACGCTAAGCTGCATTAACTGGGATTCCTGCGGGGATTCCCCTGCCTGCTGTGGGCGTCGAGAAAACCCTTCATTCACGGCTGATTGACATAACGCTGAAGCTGCACGCTGACTTCTAACCAGGCGTGCCTTTATCCCTTTTCTCTGTTTTTAAGAGAATTTCATTCTTTACTGATACAGCTTTCAATATAATATATTTCAACATATATTTCAAGTTAAGCAATGTTAGTAATTTTATACTTTACATGTCACATTGATGTGTTGAAAAACCATGTCAAACACATCAACAGAAACCTCGACTACTGACAAAGCCTCAAAACAACAAAAAAAAAAGTTTTGAAGCATTTCCTGAATAAAAAATCTAATCTGTTCACTATTCAAATGCAGCAACAACATCATGTTTATTATATCAATAAATACTGCAACCTTTAACGAGGACATGACTACAGATAAGGCAAAACTATATAAAAAAAATTTTGTTCAAATAAGAATCAGGAAACAAAAAAGTTCAATAATCGATGCGATTGACATCATGTGCCCACTTACTCTTACTTTTGGGTTATTTCCCCAAGCAGTTGGTGAGGAAAAAACTGAAAGTGATTAAGAAGGAAAATATTAAATGATACACCTATAGCAACCCACACCTTTTGGTCGACTATAAATCTGCACGCTGCATAACAGAATGCCACAGGTGACAACTAAGACGACCACTAARCAAGACTTCACAGGAAACTGCAGCCAAAAACCTCAAGTCAGCGATGAACACCGAGAGCTGCTTCACAACTGTCCTCTGGATGGCTCTGCTTCTGGGATACCTTCAGGTTCAAGCACATCCAATCACCACGCCTCAACCRGAACGCTGCCCCACCGAGATCAACTTCGAGCTGTTACAAAGCGTCTCATGTGTAAGTGTCATTTTGTGTTTGCTGTATAAACAATGTTTTTTTTAGGACAATTATACATGTTTGAAAAAGAAATTAAATATTTGCAAAGCAAGAACTGACTGGTAGGACATTTTCGTCTTTCGTTTCAGGAAGGAAATGCAACTTTCGTGACCACGTCAAGCGTACTACTGGTAAGAGACTAAATCTACGATCATGATGTGACTGCAACAATACAGACCTTCRTTATATGTGTTATACTATATTATATGTGATGTTTTTCTCACTTCTTATGCTGTTTGATGACAAAAATTTTCTTTTTTTGTTAGAACTGTGAAGCTAACGCTCTGGAAACTATCATGATCGAACTGAACAAGGTCAAAAACCAATGTAAAGATGACTCTAACCGGATCAATCAGACCATGGTTGAACTGAAAGAACTGCAAACAAGATGTCCCCGGGTGAGTGTCGAGCATTGTGTTGCCTTCATCAGATCCACCCAGACCCGAAAACCGCGAAACCCAGGACTAAACCTGTGTCCTCTTTTTACAGGTGGCCTCTTCCAAACTTCAGAGCGAACCTTCAGAGTGCCAGTGGAAACCTGATTCATTTGAAGAGTTCTTGACRTACTTCGAGTTGTTCCTTTGGCAACTCAGCGAGTCCGAGTAACTCCACAGATGCTTCCTATTTGATACTACACAGCCCTAAAATGTGATGGCTTTCCAAGTTTAAAAACACTGTAAGAAGTTCTCAACTTATTTATGGGGTTATTTATTTATTTATGTATTTATTATCTAATTAAGATCCCAAATCTGTGTACAATATTTTGATTTTTTGCTAATAAAATGTAAAAATGACTTTACCTGCAATGCGTGATTCCTTGTTTACTTTGACAAAAAGGGGAAGAGCTTCCCAGGATAACAGAGATTTAAAATCCTAATATGGCTCACCCTAAATCAAACAAACGTCCCMCTCAATGTCCAAATTATGATGTTATTTATGGCAGAGACAGCCACCGTTGGGGAAAAATGAAAAATCTGACCACTCTAAACATTCTTGGCAAACTTTAGTTTAGGTTATTATGAAATTTCCTCAACGCGGTCTTTCTCTTCGCTCCTCTCCTATCAAGGTTAAACTGGTGAGGAACCTGGGCAACAGGTCTGAGCTCAGACTCTCTCACCTCCCCTGCTGAAGCTCACACATGTCTTGCTCTTCTTTCTGCAGCGTCACTCTCTATGAGAATGACTTGCTCACGTCTCATTTGATCTTGGATTTACCAGAACTCCTGGAGGTTTGGCTCCAGGAAATCTTTCTATCCCCYGACTTGTACTTTACAATAATCTTTYYTCTGAGCCAGTTTAGGATAGTCACTTTAAAGTAGGGTTGTGTGTTGGCAAGAATTTGGTGGTATGATACACATCATGACACGATAATATATACTGTATATAACGATGTGATAAACTGCCAGGCCAAAACAAARRGTGTCCACCTGGATTTAACTAAGGTCTATGATGTGGGGTGGCTGCAGTTGGTCAGGTCTACGTTCAGCRACAGTTTGTGCTCAAAGAATGAGGTCAGCTGACCTGAATATGCTGAACGACCAGGTTATTCCATCAATGGATTGTTTCTTCCCTGATGCCACGGACATATTCCAAAATGGCAATGCAAGGATTCATCGGGCTCTTATTGTGAAAGAGTGGTTCAGGGAGCACGAGACATCGTTTTCACACTATCATTGACTATCATCAATGAAAGCTTTTGGTGYGACCTTTTTTCCTTTAGTGGCGACCTGTTTTTTTTATTTTATTTTATTTTATTTTTTGGCCAGGCACTGTTTATTGCAAAATATTGCAATATTGTAAGCAAGAGAATATACATATTCAAATATATGGCAATTTTYCCCCAAAAATTCCATTTGTTAAAAAAAATGTTTTATGTGAATTTTATGTGTTTCCTATTTCTTATTTCATCCATTTTTTCAATAGTTAGGACAAATGTGCCATTAAAGTGTTTTATATTTGTGGCAGCTTTTAGATTCATTTTAATTTATTATATCTATAAAAATATGGTCACTTGTGACACTAACTATAGCCTATATCTTGTGCTAAATTTTAGTAAATGGATAAAATTAAGCTACAGCCTGTGTTTCTGTCATGGGGTCCCTTTCAGTTAAGGGGGGACGGCGAGGATGCCAGTCATTTCAATAAACTCAGTGTATGATGGTTGTATCTCAAGTTCAAGTAGTTTTATTGTCAATGCTTCATATGTGCAATACATACAGAGAATTGAAATTGTGTTACTCTCCTTCCCAGTTACAGTAATAAACAGGTAATCAGTTAAAATAGCCCAAGCAAATAACATTGTAAATAATAATTTTAATAAAAGACACTAAATATAAAATACAGCAAAGACACAGATATGGATGAATGTGGGACAACACAAAAATATTAGGTATGGAGGGGTACTCAGTAGTGCAAAAGCAGCCTGCTGGCTTCTTCTTTAGCTTGTTCTTTTTATGTAGAGTGTCCTAAGACAACGTATGTTGTGACTTGGTGCTATATAAATAAACTGAATTGAATTGAACTGCAAAAATGGAGATCTGAGGTGAATATTGCAACTATAGTGGACTAGAAGCTTAATGCTGATAAAGTAAAAGTGATGAGTGCATATGAGTGTAAAAGTGATGTGTGCAGGGAGGGGGTTGGTATGGTGGTGATACATTATGAGTAATAGTCAAGTTTATTTATTTATTTATCTGGCCACTTCAGTACCGAACCTCAGGATCCCCCTTAGGCTTGGGGCACTAGACATATCCCAAATTTCCTGTCGTATCGTGATGTTACTGATTGCAGGCTACAGTCGGGAGAGTGTCCCGTACGGGATAAAAATACGGGACAGTTGGAAACTTTGAAGGCAGCAGGTGTCGGCCTAATCCACTCAGATTCAGCCTTCGATACTTTGTGCTAACGTTTCCTCACAATGCTAATGTTTGAGCTAGCATTATATTCTCCAGCTCTTTAGGAGTAGAGGAGCCAGTAGGCTGCCTGACTACTGCCAACTAGCTGTCGGAGGCTAAAATACAACACAAGAATGAACCGTGCCATGGAAGTTTATATTTTAAGCCTTAAATCAGAGGAGCCCAAAGTGGGGCCCGCGGGCCAAATTTGGCCCACCAAGCCATTTGATTTGGCCCACCAGCAGTTGTATAGTTACAAGTTTGTAACCTGTCATACTATGTAGAAACACAGTATTTCCACTGAAAGTCATTTTTATCCATTGTTAAAATGAATATAGATGCAGATACTATAAGACTTTTTTCTTCTTTCTGCCACCTTTCATTTTATTTGTGATTTGTATTTTTATTGTACATAAATTTTGTTAATATATAAGGGACTGTGCAGATAGTTTTCACTGATGGTGCTGACTTTATTTTTGATATATTAATATTAAACATGAAACGTGATATACAAGTAACAACAAGAGATATTTAGATTAGATTTAACCACACATGTAGATTTGCCTATGTTATAGGGCCACAAAAACTCATATTTTATCAATTTATGAAATGTCCCATGAGCCATTGCTGCTTGAGCGTATGGCAGATTTCACTAAAAACCAAAGTGGGCCATAGCACTGGCTGAAAGATTAATCATTAAAAATAAAGTACTTTATTTAAAAAGTATTTGTGTTTCATGTATTCCATTACTACATTTGGCCCGCAGCCCCGGATAGATGATAATTTTGGCCCACTTGGGGAAAAAGTTTGGGCACCTCTGCCTTAAATAATAGCAGTACTTTAGAGCAGTGGTTCCCAAAGTTGGGGTCAGGAACCCTTAGTGGGTCATGAAACATCAAGTGAGGGTCCCCAGATGATTTCCAAACATCAATTTAAATGCCAATAAACTGCTAACTGAATATTTTCTCCATGATTATTGCATTTTTTTTATAAATAATAATCATAAATGAATCATAGTGTCATAGTTATTAGGTTTGTTTATATTGTTATTATCCCCATGTTTTACAAAGTTGAATATTTATGCAGTTCCTTATTTTGCGTTACATTTGTTTATGTAATTGGTTTTTCTTTGTAGAAATTGATTTCTCTTTGACATTAAAGAGTTTTGATTTTGTTCTAAAAGGCCAAATTTATATTGACCATGACTGATTTATAAATGAATGCATAAAAAAACCAAAGGTAACAAATACAATCTGTTTCTAATTTAATCCTGAATAATACAATACTCATACGATTCAAGATTTTAAACAGTTTGCTGTGTCATGATTATGTCCAGCTTTCAAATCTTCACCAACATTTTAATGACAAAAAGGAACTAAATAAAAATGCATGACAAATGCTTTTAACACGTCTGGGTAAATTTCTCCAACGCCTGGCCTACACGGACTGAAAATGTCTCATGGGCATTTTCCCCACATCACAGTGCTCAAGGTGAGGATATTCTTAACTGATCGTGTGAGATTAGCTAAAGCGTCGCCCATGAAGGAAAAGTATGACATCATCAACAGGAGCCAACTGAGCAAGTAATATACAGAAGTGCATTGTTACCTCAACTGTCATGACCCCACACTGAATGAAACATGTCAAATTGTGTAAAAAAAAAAAAGTGGCTTATAAATAAAAGAAAACTTTAAACCAATAAAGCACCCATTTATAGAAGCAGAATACATTCTGACTGACCTTTTAAAATGTCTTCTATAAATGCAAATTTTATATGCTTTAATCTTAATTTAAGATGATCTGTATCAGTCTGAAGCTGACATTYAAAATCGGACTTGTGAGGGAGATGTGCAACTTTCTTTCCCACCAGCCAGAAGTTTTATTTGTATAACTTCTGCAAAGCACACAACAGTCATTTTTACATTTGAACTAATGACTCATCCTACAAACAAAATGAAAGCATTACAGCTTTACTACCTCAAAAATAGAAAGCGAAGGGGGAGGGGTTTGTTGACTTCTAAWAAATAACATTTAATGTCTGAATTAYAACTATTAAACCTTWAACACGACCCATGACTGAGCCTGGGCTGTTATGTTTTATAAAAATGATCATTTTTATAAAACGTGAATGTTTTTTGTTTGCTTCRGTAGATTTGCAGAAGACTGATCGTACTTCTGGTGGGTTTAGTAAAAGTGGAAACCACTAGAAAGTAGAAGCGGTAGGAACACACAATCCACTAATAGGTGGAAAGACTAAATGCAAAAAAAGGAAAAAAGAAAAAGTTTAGACGACAGTGGAACGTGGCTTCTCTTTGTGAATAAAAAAAGTAGAAACAGATTTGCAGATTATTAACTGTGTTTTAGATATAAATGGACAGAACTATCTTTAACTCAACAAATCATCAATTTT